TGAGAGTAGTAACAGTTTAGCTCTTTGCTTTATCCCTCGTGTTTTGAACAAGGATCAGTCTTTTTGAACAGGCACTGTGACGGTGTCGCTCACTGCCATGGTGTCCTAAGCCTCTGTAAGAACATAACAGGTTTAAGCAAGGAGCTCATATGTCAAGGCATTTCCTGTGCCGACTGTCGAACCTTCTTTTAGACTCTTAAAAATAATATGCAACCTGTTAGCTGGAGGATGTCCCTATTCTGTTACTACATAACTCATTTATTGTTTCATAATTCATTTACCAAATGTATTGTAAGGAACTTTAGGGATTTTAATCAGTTTTACCGGATACCTTTTCAGTTTTCTGTCAGTGGCATTAGAACCATGCTTGAACCTCAGGTGGTAGAGGTGCTTGCAGGTGCTTTGAAAGGTTAAAAACTAAGAATTTAAAGAATAAATGACTAACTAACTAGAAATTACTTATTAAATATACCCACATATTGAGTCATCTCTAACACCTGAACACTGTGTTAAAATTGGGATGGCAAAACGAGCTAGCAGGAAAGTCGAAACATCTATCTGAAATGAAATGGTTGAAATAATAACGGTGAAAAAGCAAAATTTAGTTGATACATTGTTTAAACAGTTGGTGAAAAGCTAAATGTTTGAAAGAAAGCATTGTTTAGTTAAATAACATAAATTGCTTAAACAATTAGCTTAAAGGCCTAATGAATAAATAGTCAAATAGTTGAATAAAAATGATGGCTAAATGCTTAAACTGGTTATCTGAAAGTAAAGAGTTAGCTCAATCAATGGTTAAATAGTAAATACTTCAACGACTGGAATACGTGTTATGAATGTTAACTTGAAGAAACCCTCCTAAAACCTCCTATAACACACAGCTGCAAAAACATTTCAATTGCATAGAGCAGCGGTTTTCAAAGTGTGAGGCGCGCCTCCCCTGGGGGGTGCCAGAGAGCTTCAGGGGAGGCGCAGCGTGAGAAAAAAATAACGAGAAACAGTGTAATCTAGCTAGTTAACTTCAGCAAATTTTATGCGAGCGGGAACATGGATCGATTTTTAGTGAAGTTACCTAAAGTGAAACAGGAGACAGCGTCTGGCAGAAAACGTCACTTGCACACTTTTGGCTGTCTGTGGAGACCGAGTTCCCCCAAAAAGGCTGTAAAAGTGCTCATTCCCTTCACCTCCGCCTACCTGTGTGAGTGCGGGTTTTCCGTATTGACTTTGATCAAAAGCAAGTACCAGTCAAGCAGGGGCGGATCTACCGGGGTGGCATGGGGTGGCAACTGGTGGCCACCCTAAAAATAGCCTTGCCACCCCAGCTGCCACCCCAGTTGGCAGCTTTGTTTTTGAAATAAAAGTTGTGCATCGGACATTTATGAGAGAAAATCCCTAATGTCCGACTGCAAGTGAATGCAGCACAAGACCCGAGCCTTGTAACCCCTCCCCCGGCCCTGGCGCGAGGAAATGTGATTGGCGACGATTTCATTTGAACGGGACTGCGCATTCGGACCCCAAGTAGACGGAAGGAATGAGGTATTTGCGGTCTACAATGACAGAGAAGAGACTGTCAAGTTTGGCTGTACTCAGCATTTAATCAAAACGCACTAAAGCTTTAGATCTTAATAAGTTTGTGAGGCGTTTTGCTGAACAAGATGGTAATCGCCGCATTCAGCTGTTATAGGCATGCCAACTTGATGCTCTGCTCACGGATGACCGATGAGCATAAAAAACTGTTAAGATGATGACCTTACGTGTGTAAATATATTTTTTTCTTTATGGAAAAAAATGTTTTACGTCCTGAGAAAGTCAAATAAAAAGTAGCCACTTTGATTTAACTAGGCCAGTAGGTAAGGGCATTCCACTGAATAATAATACCCCTGCATTATAGCAACAACAACAATAATAACTAGAGAATGCAATTCCTGAAGAAATTGCTAGTGGGAATGCTTTATGCTGAAAAGCTGACGCTAAACTGCTATGCTGAAATGTAATGTGTAAGAAGAAAGTGAAGAATTTAGATTGAAATGATACATGAACACTGGGGGCTTGAATGTGTGATGAGAGAAGAAAAGAAAGTAAAAAGGCTTGGAAAAGCAGCAGAATATTTGAACTGCAAACTTTTGAACTAACTTGATGGCGAATGATCTGCCTCCATGCCAACGGCATTTGATGACATCCCATAATACGCTTAGATGCGTTGATGGCTGCATCGTTACCAAACCTGTGATGTTTTGGGCCGTTTGGAGCATTTTCACTGAAGTTATGAGAAAACCGTGTTTCATGGCGAGCATTGTGTTGCCATGGCAACGGCATTTGAAGAAATCTCAAAACTGTCCCGTAGATGTCTTCACAGCTGGACTGTTAGCACACATGTGAAGTTTGAGCACTTTTTGAACATTTTCATAGGAGTTATAGCGACATCGTCTTTTATGGCGAGGGATGCGTTTCCATGGAAACGGCATATGATGAAACCCCATAATTGACGTAGAGCTGTTGAGGGCTAGACCGTTAACCATTATCTGAAGTGTGGTGCTGTTTTTACCCTTTTCATAGGCGTTACGACAACATCGTGTTTTATGGCGAGGGATGCGTTTCAATGGAAACGGCATATGGTGAGATGTCAGATTTGACGTAGAGCTGTTGTGGCATGAAGAGGTGATATACAGGTGAAGATTGTGGGACGACCGGACCGTGTCCATTGGAGCTACACAGCGACATCGTGTTTTATGGCGAGGGATACGTTTCCATGGCAACAGCCTATAGTGAGATCTCAGATTTGGCGTAAAGCTGTTGAGGCATGGACCGGTGATATACAAGCGAAGTTTGGGGGACGATCGGACCGTGTCCATTGGAGTTACAGCGACATAGTGTTTTATGGCGAGGGATGCGTTTCCATGGAAACGGCATATGATGACACCCCATCATTGACGTAGAGCTGTTGAGGGCAGGACCATTAACCATTATCTGAAGTCTGCTGCTCTGAGCATGTCAGTTGGAGTTATGACATCATCGTGTTCCATGACACAGGTGTTTATATTTGAGCTAACGAGGTGTCCAGAGATCAAAGGTTTCCATGGTGATGTGCAGTAATCAGTGAGAGGAGAGCATTTTCATTGTTCTGAATGAGATAAACCTCTTACATGTGAACGTTTTGTTGAAGAACCGTAACAGATATCGGTGAAATTTCAAAGCGTGAAGCATCTCAAGAACTCTGAGCATCTAAATTGTGTGCCTTTTGTGTACTTTCGGGTTAATAATGTGGCCTTTTTGGCAGATTAACTAAAGGTGTGCAGCTGCTGTGGTGGGGAAAGATGAGGCTGAATTTACAATGGGGTTTAATGGAGACATGTTGAAAGTTTTTGTCACTTCATGCCCTCAAGAGGCATTTTGTTTAATTATTTTGCATAATTCTTTTTTATTTTTGAAGCTACGAGATGTTTTCCTACGTTTCTCATGAACAATTATGTCTCAGGAATGTAGGGTTTGGGAATTATGGCAGGTTTAAAAGAAAATATGAAGGCAAAATTAAATCTGTCCTCCACTCTAGCTGTGACATCACGCTCTCTAAATCTGAAGAAGGCCTCTTTATCAAGGTCTGAACAATGTTTAATATCTCTAAAAGTACGAATCACATTTAAAAGTTGTGTTACACGAATAATGTCAGAAAGATGTGTAACATTTTAAAGTTGGAATGAGGTTTCTGAGTGAAAGTATGAAGGAGCAGTTAGCAGTTGAAGTTGCATGAAGATTGTTCAAGTCTGAAGAGTTTCTCCATGTAAAAAATTTGATGAATTATGGGATGTACCTCTGGAATTATGAAAGTTATGAATAAGAAAAGTAATAGCATCGATTCCCGACCGAGCTGAACGTTTTGAACTGAGCATCTGCGATGTGGAATGTGGGAGAAGAAGAGGTGCAAAATAACCCGGTGGAATAATAAAGAATTTCGTGCGTAGCATAACAGATAGTTGGAATGCTGTATCAGCATTCCCACTAAATAATAATAGCAATAATAATTGGGAGGGGGGACGCGGCTGTTCTTATGTTCTATGAGGGGAGGCTCACCTTCCCACACTTTGAAAACCCCTGGCATAGAGAACAAAATAAAATATCCACTTTAATATTATTAATAGTGTGAAATAAGAACCAGTTTGAAATCAATTCATATAAACACATGTGGGAAAATGATGTGTCGATAAATAGAGAACCTGCTCATTTAATTTGTCAGTGCGGGGAAAGTACATCAGACAAAATAAGTAATGGAACCATTGCATTAGAGAACAATAACATTATGAGAATATAATCTACCATTCATTCCCAGGTGTAGTAATTGATAGGCACGATTAGATGGAAGTCGATTGTCATCAATAATAAATGGTGTCTTTGTTGTGTGTGTCTGTGTGTGTGTGTGTGTGTCTGTGAGTGTGTGTGAGTGTGTGTGTGGTGTTGGAGAACGCTCCAGGCTCTGTGGTTTCAAGTGTTGTTTTCCGAGCACAGAGGAATGGCTAATTCAAACGCTGGGGTTATCTGAGGTGACGGTTCAACATTTTAGTGAAACAATATTTGCGTCTAATAAGATGAGAGTACAAGGGTTTGTGAACATGTAAACCTCATCGTGAAACAATAACACCTCTTTGTTTAAAATATATTTACCTCAGCAGGCCCTGATGATAACATCTCTCTTTTAATGATCCAAAGGCCTGCCTAAAACAAACTTCTTTTAGACAATGTAGCTAAAAACATTATTTCCTATCACTACGCTCACTTTGCTGTTCAGAGCTCTGTATTATATGTATGTATGACATATTGACTAACAGGATTATATGCTTCACGGAGATTACTCTAATTAAAATCTTTTGGCAGAAGTATTCTACATGCTAATCTATATGTAGCATTGCTGTATTCCCCACCACACGCATTCATACTTGACAATGTATTGTTTTTTATTGTGGTTAAGAACATTTAGCATTCATGTTTTGTCTCTTTTTGTCTTCCAGTTTGTGGTCCGAGCATCGACATCCGGAATGACATCAGCGAGTTCAAGCGTCTGGAGAACTGCACGGTGGTGGAGGGCTACCTGCAGATCCTCCTCATCAATGACAAGACCAACAACATCAACCAGGAGGTCTTCCGCTCCCTGAGCTTCCCAAAGCTGACCGTCATCACCGACTTCCTGCTGCTGTTTCGCGTCTCGGGCCTGGACAGCCTCAGCATTCTCTTCCCCAACCTGAGTGTAATCCGCGGGCGAAATCTCTTCTACGACTACTCCCTGGTGATTTACGAGATGACCAGCCTGAAGGACATCGGCCTGTACAATCTTAGGAACATCACCCGGGGAGCCGTGCGGATTGAGAAGAACCCTGAGCTCTGCTACCTGAACTCTGTGGACTGGTCCCTTATTATGAATGCTAGGTTGAACAACGTTATAAATGGAAATAAGAAGGCAAAGGAATGTGACAATGTCTGCCCGGGCATCATGGAGGATAACCCTCTGTGTCAGAGGACGTCGTTAAATGACAACTACGACTACCGCTGTTGGACCTCCACGCAGTGCCAGAAAGGTAATGTGAATTCCATGGTGTTTTATTTCATCCTCCCAAATGACGAAAAAAGCAGTTTCAAAAGGGGATGTTTGCTCGATACACGTTGATAACAGCTGTGTGATTTTCGTAATTCGAGTATAGTAAATGCGGATGTGACTTTGATCCATGTAGGTGGTTTCCAGTCTTATAAACATTCTGAAATTGTGCATTTTTTCACCAGCTAACAAATCCCATGAATCTGTGCAGTGTATTCCCTTCATTTCCGTCAGGCTGCAGGATTGTCCACGGGCCAGTGAAAACACTTCCTCTCTGTTCATTATAGAGACCTTGTCTTTAGATCAGGCTATTTGCGGAGTGAAGGATGGCTGCAATATAGAGCACCGGGTATTAGAAAGGCATAGTCAGTTGAGGTTAAAGTTGCTCTGCCAAGAAATGAGCTAGTCTACCTGTCTGGACCATGTCAGTTAAATATTTGCCTTAGGGACTTTTTACGATTTATGAAAAGGGGTATATTGAAGAATTTGGGGGAGGGTCTTCCCTGTTTAACTTCGGCCCAGTGGTAGGGTCATGAATTTTGAAAAACAGTTCAGAAGAGGGTCATATCATATATAGAAACGTAATATCCTTATGATCTGCAGGTTGGAATTTATTGAGTTTTTCGGGTTCAGTTTGTCATACACGGCTCTCAAGGCGAGTGTCGGGGCTTGTAGCAACATTACATATCTTCACACACTCTCAGATTTCAGAATGAGAGACAGCTTGTGCTTTTTTGATTAGACATTGGGACAACCAGATCAGCTGTCCCATGCCTCTTCGAATATAAAAGACAGTTCCAGACTTTCCAATATATCCTGCAGCCTGTTTGACACACACGGTGCGTTCTTTTCTGACATCAGAACAAACTATGCAATATCATGTTTCTTGGCTGTATCGTTTTTCATGCAGATATTTTAAAGATATTAAGCTACTAGTTGTCATTTCTCCTAGGGTGCAGCGGGTTTGTGGATGTTGTTTTTTACCAGAGGTTGAAATTCCTTTGGTGACTTCACTTATTAATAACACATTACCCTATCCCAACAGTTGAAGAAGTAATCACTTGTATTCAGAAAAGTCTATTTAAATCATTTGAAAGATAATTAAAGTATATTAACGGTGCTTTAATTCCAACATGTCTCCTTGAAAGACATCACAAAAAGGGACACAAAACATTTAGATGTTATTGTTGTATATGTAGGAATGGTAACTCAACGTCTTTTTAGATGCTGATAAGATATAATAACAAACTATGGCCTTCCATCTTTCTGCTGCTTTGTTTTTATGGTTACAGGTGTTGTTTGTGTGGTTCAGAGGGTGATATCAATGCAGCAGCTTCAGCGTCATTTGCCTTTTATTTGTTTATTTTGCATAAACTATTAACACATTGGTAGTTGAGAGACACTGGCCCTTTTGTCCTTCCCTCTCTAAAGGCTGACTATCCATACTGTACCAACTGTGGAGTAAATAAAACGGCTACATGTTTGGCTCTCTTTCTGTCTTTCTTTCTTCAACTTGTTTTGGTCGCCTACTTCATGCTATTTTCTCAGTCCTCTCCTCTGTGTGTAATGGTGGGAAAATGTTCCTCCAGCCCTTTTTCTATTGAAGACCTGTGTACAGCTCCCATGGTCAGTTGGGAGTCTCACACACCACCACCCTCCTTCACCCCCGGGGACCCTCAGAACAAATAGTGGAAATCAAGTATGCGTTCTTTCCCTAGTGATTACTTCTGTCTCTATAGAAAAGCTATGTTGTTTATTGTTGTTCTTCTGTTTATTTATTGGATGCCATATCCTGCCAGAGTTCCCCGCATGTTGTTATTGATTCCTTGATTCATGCACAGTGGGCTGTGTGACTTTGGAACCATTTTGAATATCTTTGTTTAAAAGGGTTTCCTTACTTTGCTTGATTTACAAATAATCTACATTGTGAAGGACCTTTTTTAAGTCACGTCTGCTCTTCCCACAGAGGATGTGTTTTGTGGTAAAACTCGTTGTTCTCACACGTCGGTCTTGAGGCAGAGCCGGAGTATTGTTTGAACAAGATCACTGCTCTTTGAGGCCCAGGCCGAGGTCAGGCTAAAAGCATTCATCTAGAAGGCCCTGAGGTCTCAAGGCTGCAGATAAGAGCTCCGTAAAAATTCCAGGCTTTATGCCCCTTTTGCAACATTTCTCACCCTGTCTTTTGAAAGGCTTGATGTTTATACCTCTCTGCTTCCTGCTTAGGATTCCTCTCTCCTCCCTCCACCCCACTGCATAATTGTCTTGTTTTTCTCCAGTACAGATGTTCCTTCAAGGGCATTCAGTGGTTTTGTAGTCAATATGGCCCGGTCTCCTCTTTAATTACACTACATGAGGGGGGAGTGCTGTCTGCCTTTTAGCCTCTGGGCCTTCTGGTGCTTCACAGAGCACACATTTCCTCTTTCCACATGTTTGTCCACCTACCAGATACTGTTCCCCACAACGGTTCGGGTGTATTAGTCGAGAGGGGAATGTTTATATGATAAGCCAGGTTAATGTATTTGAAGTGAGTGGGAGTGACCGTGTAGGGATGTGCAGATTGGAGCAGGGGCTGGTTGCTTTTTAGTGGCGGGCAGTGATGCGTAGAGAGGCCCTGACTGAGGAGCAGGAGGAGGGGCACTGAGGGGAAATGTCAGACAAATGTCAAGTATACGAGCTCAACAGCAAGCTTGCGCTAAAGCACATTGCTTGGAGTGCTAAAAAATGCCTGTCACTCCGCTTGTTTTTTTTTTGTACCTCGTCCTCCTCCTTCTTCCCCCCATGATTCTCCCCTCTTCATACACACTGTCTGTCTGCTTCTTCCTCACTTGGCCTAACCTCAGCCTGGATCTCGTCTCTGGTTTCACCTTGTCAGTTGTTCTCCTGGTGTTTCCTCCTCCATTTCACCTCGCTCTTTTTCTACTCTGCTTATCAGGGGCTGTTAACAGCTCTGGCTGTCAGATATCTCTCCGCTGTTTACTTGTCGGGAGACATTCTCTCATCACTGCAGTGGTCACAGCCAACCGTCTTGTTTGGCCAGACCCTGGATCCTTTGACACCGCACACTGTTTGCTTTGAGTTTCGGGGGATCCCGTGACTAAAACTGTCTGGCCTGCTTCAAATAGCCCTCTCAAGTCTCTGTGTTTGCTGCAGACAGGCCTCCCTTCTGCCCCTGAAACTGAGCCAGAGCCAGATAGACAAGAGGCTTTTAAAATTAGGCAGACGAGCAGGAAAGCATGCTGCGGTGTCCATGCCCAGTCCCGGGGCAGGTTAGTCTTCATAGCTCCACAGGGAGGCACACACTCTCACACTGGCTACTCCTCACAGTGCTTACATGTCTTCTTTATGCGATAGGTTATTAACTTACAGTATGCTGTATCATTCTAAGGAACACCATGTCCTGAATGCTGCATTATAATATGTCAGAACTCAAGTCTGCATGTGAATGTTTAATGAACGAAAATGTCCACATACTGAAACTGCCTTTTGCTTTTTGAGAGAGCAGACCTGAGGTGTTAGTGGTGCAGTGTCATTTTGCATTTTAGTGTCTGAAGCTATAGTGGTGTAAAGTCCCTGACACACCAGGCAGTCACCAGAGAACTCGCCGACACCGACAGTTCCATCGACGAGTTCTCCTGCGTCTTGGCCATGTGTCGCACTGGAAATCACCGCAAAGACTTCAGCCGAGCACGTACGAACTGCGCATGCGTGAGTGGCAATAACTCTCCTTACCAGCAGGCGGCGGTAGTGTGTATTCGTCATTCAAAATAGGCAACAACCGGAAGACAGAGAAGAAGAACAGACTGATATAAACAAACAAATAGCGTGTGCGTTCCATTTTCACTCTCGTCCATCGAAAACATGTTTTAGAATATAAAATACATGAATGATGAAATGAGCACATAAAGTGCAGACATACTATAAAATCACAGTTAATAGACCTGCATCTGATGATCGCAGTGTTCTGGCGGGGGTGTAGTTTATTGAGTCAGCAATGTAATAATGGCCACTTCTTGCTAAATTTACGATGAGATGAAAAACCGGACTTGACCAAACAAATCACGGAGCTCTCAGCAGAGGACAGCCGGGGACGCTCCCGCCGATATCAGAGATGTCCCTGCTATGTGTGGGAGGTAAGAGAGGACATTTAAGGGCTATGTTTGATGTCTTTTAAGTATCACCTGCTGGGGTTTAGCTGCTGTCCTGTGCCTTTTTTAATCGTTTGTTTACGTCCCTCACTTCCGTTTCGCTAGCTGAACAGCTGATCAGAGTGGTTTCTTGGCCCGATAGCTTGTGGCCGTATTTTGGCCGATTCAACATGTTGACTCGGCCGGGTGTCGACCGTGAAAGGCCAAATAAGGCGTGTCACGGCCGAGGGTTCGGGACACACCAAATTGACTTTGGGCGACAAGGAACGCGTTGTCGCCAGACAACGCAAGATGGCCGAATACGGCCTGGTGTGTCAGGGCCTTAAGGTGAAGTTTGACGTAAGCAGCCCTGCTGTCCTGTTATGCCACTGACAGTCTGTGCTCTGTGTGTCCTTGTCCTGAACCCCGAGAAAAACACTGCAGAGCGAAAAAGCATTTCTGAGCCGTGGCAGTTGTGAGAGCTCTCCGCCGGCCCGGGAGACTTTTGCATTTGATAATATGTTTGCTCCCTCTTTGCCAGAGACCCACTTGATATCTCTGGTCTGAGTGCTCTGACCTAAGGCCACTTCACAGCAGGAAAACAGTTTATTTTAGAGGATGTAGGGGAAGCAGGTTCAGACGGACAGACAATATTTCTTTCTTCTCTTTCTGTTGTTTTTTTTACTTTGCAATTATTATATATTTTTGATATAATTGAGAAAGATAGGGCTTGCAATATTACATTTTTCTCATTTGTGTCCCAATGCTTTTTGATTCCCTCCACTGTCTTTAAAACCGAGTCACAAATAATGTAATTAACACCAAACAGCTGGCTTGGCTCTGTAGGTTTTGGAAAAAC